AAGAAACACACACAGCGAGGGGAAACCAGCAAATCAGGAATAGCAGACCGTGTTTGGACCCATCAACACAACATCGAGTGGTCCCAAGCTGAGATCATACACAGAGAGGAACATTGGTTTAGGAAAAAATTCAAGGAAGCCGCATACATGTTGTCCAACAACGTATTCAGCCAAACTAGCGTAGAGATACGCAACGTATGGAAACCCATCATCAAGCGAAAAATGGCCAACAATTGCCAAACGGTCATCTCCCACTAAACCAGTGAAGTGCAAAATGGAAAGCGAGAATAAGTGAAAGTACTTGAACGACCTATAAATAGTCATCTCTCGGAGGAATCAATCCAGTCATCACCCGAATACGATTGTAGATACAATAACAGAAGTAATAGAGGGACGAAGAACCTTTCATATGATGTATCAGTCGACCTTCCATGCCTTCACCCCCCTGCTGACTGCAGGGGGTTGAAGTTTCTGGTATGATATTCAATTTGGGATAAAACCCATCGTAAAAATGAAATAACTAGTGGAAATTAGACACAAGTGTTATCATTCATTTCATTAAAGTGTTAATAATATTTCTAACATGCCTTTCTCATGACAAAGTATAGCTTATAGTGATTAGTAGAATGTATAATGATATTGAGTTAAGCTGAAGAGCATCAAAAGATCCAATCAAAAGAACTCTTTCAGATTTTGTCTTCTCAAAATTTATTAACCGAAATTTAACCGTTTCGGCCTTGATAACACTCTAGTAAAGAAAACAAAGCTATATATCACATCTTTTTTTCCTTGTTTCCTGGACTAAGCGCGTAGGCGGGCAGCAGATGTAACTTTCGGGCCTATTATTCAAAACTATTTTACTTTGAAGTTGTGCAATTTGAATATTTTGGGAGAGGCTGAACAGCTGCTACGGGATATTAGGGTATGTTTCGAATGTTATGTTGGAGGTCACTAATATTTGATGGAATTAGTTTTCGGATGCAGCCTGAGTGGTTTCTACGGCCACCATTATTATACTCTAACTACTTTCATTGTTTATTATTCTTCCAGGTGAGTGTCAATTTGACTAAGGAAATTAATTCGCGTAATTTTGTTAACAAATATTGTTCGGTTTGTTTCGGGAAATTCAAGCAAGGAACATTCTGGATTCCAATTCTTAGCTATAGTGATTGAATTCTTGCAGTTTTTCTTCTCTTACATATCGGTGAAAAACTGCCATTTTGCACCTTCAGAGTACTATATCCGAAATAGGCTTTTCTTATAATAATTTGGAACTTTTTCTCTTCGTCAATCTAATAATGCCCGAATTGTGACTGTATTTATAGCTCAGCACTGGTGAATCAAAACCAAACCAAGCTTCAGAGAATCACTTTTGTGTAGTTTCCTCTTTCGGAACGTGAAAGTTCGACTACATTAAACTAGCCTTCATTTCTACCTCAGAATAATAATAAGACATAGAGTTGCCATGCCTATACCAATACAATACTTGTGTTTTGAAACGGGTATCGTACTATTCTTTTCTGTACAACTTATAGGCGAGGGGGGGTGGCGGGTAATGAGGGGTTATGGAGAGTTTGTTTACATTTGAAGTNCGTGATTTTGAATTTGAACTCGTTGTTTCAACTTGTAATGTCGACCTAAAAGTCGTATCTTCGATTTTGGATTCATACTTTTGACTCCAAAGTCATTACTCGGACTCCAAACAAGTAACTTAGACTTCAAAATAGTAATTTTGAGTTCGAACTCGTTGTTTCAACTTGTAATGTCGACTTCGAAGTCATATCTTCGATTTTGGACACGTAATTTCGACTTCAAAGTCGTTACTCGGACTCCAAACAAGTGACTCAGGCTTCAAAATAGTAATTTCGAGTTCGAACTCGTTGTTTCAACTTGTAATGTCGACTTCGAAGTCATATCTTCGACTTTGGACACGTAATTTTGACTTCAAAGTCGTTACTCGGACTCCAAACAAGTGATTCAGGCTTCAAAATAGTAATTTCGAGTTCGAACTCGTTGTTTCAACTTGTAATGTCGACTTCGAAGTCGTATCTTCGACTTTGGACTCATAATTTCGAATTCAAAGTCGTTACTCGGACTCCAAACAAGTGACTCAGGCTTCAAAATAGTAATTTCGAGTTCGAACTCGTTGTTTCAACTTGTAATGTCGACTTCGAAGTCGTATCTTCGACTTTGGACTCATAATTTCGAATTCAAAGTCGTTACTCGGACTCCAAACAAGTGACTCAGGCTTCAAAATAGTAATTTCGAGTTCGAACTCGTTGTTTCAACTTGTAATGTCGACTTCGAAGTCGTATCTTCGACTTTGGACTCATAATTTCGAATTCAAAGTCGTTACTCGGACTCCAAACAAGTGACTCAGGCTTCAAAATAGTAATTTCGAGTTCGAACTCGTTGTTTCAACTTGTAATGTCGACTTCGAAGTCGTATCTTCGACTTTGGACTCATAATTTCGACTTCAAAGACGTTACTCGGACTCCATACAAGTAACTTAGACTTCAAAATAGTGTTTTTGACTTTGAACTCGTTGTTTCAACTTGTAATGTCGACTTCGAAGTCGTATCTTCGACTTTGGACTCATAATTTCGACTTCAAAGACGTTACTCGGACTCCATACAAGTAACTTAGACTTCAAAATAGTGTTTTTGACTTTGAACTCGTTGTTTCAACTTGTAATGTCGACTTCGAAGTCGTATCTTCGACTTTGGACTCATAATTTCGACTTCAAAGTCGTTACTCGGACTCCAAATAAGCGACTCAGACTTAAAATAGTAATTTTGAAGTTGAACTCATGGTTTTGACGTTAAAATCGCAAAATAGACACGTTTGGGTTGTTCCACAACATTAAACTGGTGTTTTCCAGTATGGTTTCTCCTATAATACATAAAAAATGTACAATTCATTACGATTCAATTTTGAGGACTTATTTACTTCTCAGTTCGAAAAAAAATTCAAATTGTAGCCACGAGTTTGGCTATGAGTCGATAGTTTTGAACTTGAACTCCTCATTTCAACATTTACGTCAAAATTTTATACTCTGTAACAAAATATAATGATTGACAGTGTCGATTGTTAATCTTTTTTTATTTTTCGCTTATTTTTATTTTATTGTGATTGCATTTCACGTTTTCATTCCTCAATATAATTGATATTTGTAAGTGATCATTTTGATTTTATTTGTTATTTCAGAGATTTCAAACAATTTTTTTTTCGTAAACGTCATTTGATCTCTACAAACTTCATTTTAAAAAAGTATCACGACATGTTTTGCTAACACAGTACTTTTTTCGTAGTTAATAACATATTAATAGGTATGTTTTACATGTACTTAGAGACAATTATATATTTTTCATGGAGATATTAACAAGATTCATGGAAATATTAAATTCTCTATTGAAGTAGAAGCGGAGGATTCAAACTTAATCAATTACTTGGATAATTAGTAGAATGAACAACAAATATGATTTTTCATTTTATCACAAACCTTCCCATACGGATATTACTATTCATTACGATTCTACCCCTCTGTATCAACACAAAATAGCATATTCTGTTTCTGTCTGTTTAAAATCTGTTTTTCCGTTAACCAGCTGTCGCACCCCTACGAACGACAACTCTCAGGAGTCGAAACTTGTGCGAGCTAAGGATTAACGAGGTCTTACCTTTTAACGTGTGATTCCTAACACGGGTTGGACGGTAGCAAGTGAAGATCGATCATTCAGACTAGGGCTTGAACAACCGACCAACACGGCAGTCAATTCGAGTGAGTGAACAAAGCACCCACGCCGAACCGCTTGGCTACCGACTGACCAATATTATAATAGATTAGTCAATAAATAATTTCAATAAAGAACTCTGGATCGTTAAGCAAATTGCAGTAAACAACGGATTCAAAGCTGAATCAATAGACAAAATACTTTCCAAAAACTCTACACAAAACCGATTCGGGGACTATAGCATATAGAACAGGTAATACGTTGGTAAAGTAAGTCAAAAATGATGAAGACAAAACATCATAATTCGAGATATCAGGAATGTACAAATTGAAGTGTGGAACTCGAATATTTATAGCAGAATATTTGGGAATCGCATCTAGGAACATCATATGAGCTATGTGAATAATAAAACAAGTTCAACATATTCAAAGTGTCTTCTACAAGAAAATCATATCTTCAAAGGAGATTTCGAAATTTCACACATAGAAAATAAAGGTTTGAAGCTATATCATTTGGAAGCAATGGAATTTAAGTGAATTTGTTTAGATCATCATTACTCTGAACTCGTTTTCTCAGACACCGACACTATATTATTCATATAGAATTGATATAATATGCTCTAGGTGATCATAATTGGGTATATACTTATGAATTATTGATCACATTTTATAACAATCTGAACGTAACTACAAGATAATTTGAATACCAATAATTCCAGTTCGGAATTCAGAATACATGATTATTATTTCGATAATTGCCAGTGAGCTATTCTACCCACGTCAGCTATTCAACTAGGCTACACAACTTCTTACATAACCGGCGAAGTTGAAAGATCCCAAATTGAACCAATTTCAACAACGAATACTGAAATAAATTCTAACATCTGTGACAATCAAGTTATCAGCTTGGGCTTTCAGCGGAGATCGTTCACTTCATAAGCTGAAAGGTCTTATAACTGAGTAACGATGCTATGAATGTTCTCCAATTACAGAGTTTTGCAGCACTTGAATTAAACTGGTTGACAAATTGTAAGCACCGGCAAGGCTTGCTTGCTATGAATTTAATTTAATCTTGTAGTCTCAATGGTCTTATATATATGACTAACATAAAACCAAAAGCGCAAAGATTTCACCGCCATAATACTCGGAACAATGAAAGATTTGAAGTGCCGACTGCTACTTAATTCAGATTTCTTGGAGAAAAACTCTAAATAAAATATGTAAAGAGGATTGCACTACGCGAGCCTATAATATAATTGTTGATGAACATATTTCGGTCGGTAGCCAAGCGGTTCGGCGTGGGTGCTTTGTTCACTCACTCGAATTGACTGCCGTGTTGGTCGGTGGTTCAATCCCTAGTCTGAACGATCGATCTTCACTTGCTACCGTCCAACCCGTGTTAGGAATCACACGTTGAAAGGTAAGACCTCGTTAATTCTTAGCTCGCATAAGTTTTGACTTCTGAGGGTTGTCGTTCGTAGGGGTGCGATAGCTGTTTAACGGAAAAACAGATATTTGAATAAATTTCATTGAGCGCTTATTATCTTTAAATTTGAATAAAACAAAATGTGTATGAATATAACATTGTTGGAATGTCTGCCACGGCTTTTTTGGATGGAGCGCATCCGTCCAATTTTCCATGACTCTGGCGCAAAATCAGGCTGAATTTGACCGATGTTCTAGGTTATGTTAGGTTTGAGGACCACTGTGATATGTGGCTGATCCGCATACACTTGCGACTTAGGGAAACCGCACAAAAAAAAGTCTAAAGAGGTCAAATCGTACGATCTCGGTGGCCAGTTCATATCACCTCTACGTCAAATGACCATACCCTCAAATCGTTTGTGCAGAATATCTAATTTAGCATGAGCTGTGAGGCACGTGGTGAAGTCCTGTTGGAATTACAAGACGTTGGTGTCCAGATCAGCCAATTCATTTAAAAAAAAGTTGGTAATCATCGACTTATAGTGCTCGCCGTTGACAGTGATGGCCTGGCCAACATCGTTCTCAATTCAGATACATATTCTATAATAGATGTTAGCATATCACTAATGATAATTACAGTAAATTAAAAAGTAAATAGATAACAATTAAAAAAGAGGTAATGTTCAGTTCCTGGGAAACGCCTAAGCTTGGGTTGCGTGCTACTNGTTAGCATATCACTAATGATAATTACAGTAAATTAAAAAGTAAATAGATAACAATTAAAAAACCGAAGAAGGATTGAACCAGACAATCATGCGAAGAGGAGGCAGGTCTAAGTGAGGTAAAAAAAATCAGACATGATTCAGTGAGTTGATTCAAATATTTCTTTTAA